ACAGACAATGGACTACCTGGTAGCAATACAAAATATGTCTTTGGAATCCTAATGTGAATGCCAGCTCATGTGTATTTCCTTAACAGATTTTATCTATGCATCCATTACTCTCTTTATTAGTGTTTCTCATAATATGAATTTCCTAATACTTTTCTTCAAGTTACCTGAGCTGCTCATTAAAATGTATCTAATTGGTCACTCAGAAAAATCTACTGAATTTAAGTTAATTCCAAGAGAACTATTGCTCTGTACATTGCATCCAGTATAAAAACAATAAAAATATTTACATGCATCATTGGTGATTTATAGTAAATGCCTAAATTTATAGCATTGTGTCACTAGTTGCTGAATATTTATGGAGCCCCAACTTTCTGCCAGTCTTTGTGTTAGAGGACAAGGATAAACTGCTGAACAAAAACAGAAATGTAACCTGTTCTCATGAACTTTGCAACTTAGCAAACATATTAATAAAATAGTCACACAAACAGATGTCAGGCTGTAATTATGATAATCTAAACAATGAAGATCATACTGTAAGGGAGATTAAATGTGGAACTATTACATTGTTACTAAGTCAGAAATGCTTCTCTGAGATAGTCATGCCTTAAACAAGAACAAAAGCATAATTAGCAGATCCATGAGACCAGACAGGCTGAGAGGGAATGAAGGAAGGCAATTATAGTTGAAAACCCTTGAAATTACTCAAAACACTTCCTAACAAGAAAAATTCAGGAATCTAATATTGCCAAGTCTTAGGCACGCAGAAACATTCCATGTATTCTTTTATTAAACAAAAATTTAAAAAACTGCAGGGTTCATTTACTTAGGACCAAAACATATGACAATCCAAAACAGATATATTTCTATTGTATTATGCCTGATGTTTTTTTTCAAGTTACTGATTAATCTCATAGCTTCCACAGAAATGTCAAGTCTCATCCTTTGTTAGTCTACTTGGATACATTCTCAAGCTCAATGACTCAATGTATTAAAGCATAACTTAGTGAAGACAACCAAAAATTGAAGTTCAAAACTCCTGAACTCAAAATACTCTTGAACATTGCTCACCCAGGTGACTGGATAGAATGACAGACAGGCCTACAGATATCTTAACAGAAGACAGCTAACTTTTAATAGAAAAAAATACCAAAATATTAAATAAATAACTGTATAAGTGCTTTCTTAGAACTTGCCAAAATCACAACAAATTTGGAATAATTAACATATAATTGGTTGATTATATATATATACATACACTAAGAAAGAAACTGAAACTTGCCTTTTTAAAGTAGTGATTTTTGACTTATTCAACATTTATTAAAATGGCTTTAAGGAAGAGAATACCTGAGAAATTATTGGCAATTTATGATAAAGGATTCCCTTGCCAAATAAGTTTAGAACAACCTTGAATTATTTGGCCTTCTTTTTTACCACCTAAAAGTCTTTTTATTAATTTTCCAGAGTAGTATATATATCGTAACTCATTTTTCGTCTATCCTTTTTATATTGTTTTCTGAAAAACACTGCACCGATCTAGTTTTCAATGTAACAAATTCTGTCTTCTACCATGTTGGTTACAATTTCTTGGTTGGCAAATATGGAAAGAGAATTTTCCTCAATTTCTCATCACACCCCAACGCAATTTATTATAAAAGTAGCATGAACAATACTGAAAACATATGTCAGCATGACTTATTGTTGGAATTAGAGAGTAAACATCTTTTAATGAAAAAGTATTATAGCAGCCTGGGTCTAATCAGAAAATAGAGTGCACAAGTAAGTTAAATAGGAGAGGTTAATATAAAGAATTAATAACTGATAAAAGAGTAGCTATGGTATACAAGGAAAACTGCATGGTATCCCAGGAGAACAATCAAGGAAAGACAAATTTTCAAAGGGTCTTAGAGAAGGTGTGGTTCAGCCCAGTGAAGAACACAGAAGCTATGCCAGGTTAGCCTTTGTTTGGAGTTTCTAGACAAGCAATAGATCTCCTTGAGAGTGAGATGAAGCAGATGTAGTTGGTATCAAAGCCATGCAATGGGAGTCAAAGTGCCTGTGTATGCAGGAACCATCAGAGCACATGAGCTATGCAGGGCTTATAGAGGGAGCTGCAGATCTGTGCTTATCTTCTAGGCTACAGGCAGCTGCATGGAGGATGCTCAGTTGCTTATAGAATCTCATGTGACCTGTCAGACCAAAGGTAGCTACATAGTTTGTTTCTATGTTGAGAGGGCTATAGAGAGGTTATCCTTAGGCCAAGACTATTGAGGCACAGGGGATGGTGCTCAATTCCTACAGTAGGAAAGCTCCACTTGTTGTTCTCAGATTTGTCCAGACAAGAAAGTTTAGGAATTTTCTTCCTCCTGTAATGTTCCTCCAGTGTCCTCTACTAAGAAACCTCAATACTATACACACTGTATAGGAAAACCTTAAAGGGATTCAGTCATTTATCACAGAGCACTTATTTGAAGGTTGCACTTGGAACTGAGGCAGTAAATTGGTAACTGACGCAGGTGTGAAGCTTGTGTATGTGTGTGTGGAGGCACAAAAAGAGGGAAGTTGAAAATTTCCAGTCACCATTCAACCTTTGCTGAGGGGAGAAGATTTAGCTGTCATTCTTGCATGGTGCTTGTACACAGCATAGTAGTCAGCTGAAAGTTTTCTGTCTTCTTAGGTTGCACTTTTCTTGAATTATTTTTTGATAATAGAGAGCAGGATTTTCTTGGGGGACCTTTCCGTAGCAGACCCTATTTTTTCTGGGTTACTGGCTCCTCCAAAAATCAGTACAGGATATATGCATAAATAGAAGCAAATCCAGAGAATTTCCTGGATTTCAGGTTTCAAGGTCCCTAGGCAATTTGTCTTTTCTCTCTTTTTCACAGACTTCTTATAATTATTTTACATACACTTTCCAGGGTTTTTAGCTGTATTCAGTGGGAAGAATTGAGAGATGTGTGTTCTATATCAGTTTTAATTTTTGGGATCTCATTTTCTATGGGGAAAAAATTGTTTTCTTCCCTGATTTTCAGTTTTCCATTTTCTCAGCTATCCCTCCCTAACTAATTAATATTGTTTCATAAAGAATGTTTTCATTAAATAACATCATGAGATCACTATTGTCAGTTATGACAGTGTCTTAAACATTCACATGTTATTCTGCAGTTCATTTTTTCCATGTGACACAAACACTAACAGCATATGTTAGCTAAATTTTCAACATATGTTGGTTAGTTTTCCAAACAGATATTCAGGGCCTGTTTGGCATCACTATTTTACTAATTTCTTTAGTAAGTGACTAATCCAAGGTTATTAATTAGCAATATTTTTGTGGTCAAATTTTCCAGTATGTTTAGTCTATGCATTTCTGGGTCTTTCAACCATCCTTTCCTTTCCCAGGCACCACAATCTAGGAAGTTCATTAACAATGTAAATATTTTAGTAATTAAAATAATGTTTAAACAAGAATTAGAGTTGGGAGTAGAATTAATGGACATTGATGGGTATAGCACACACAAATTATAAATATTTATGGGGTACAATGTGATATTTACATGTATACATTGTATGATGTTCAAATCAGGATAAGCCTATCTATTTCCTCAGAAGTTTCTCATTTCTATGAAAACACTCAAAATTATCTTTTATCAATTTTCAAATACACATTACATTATCATTATCTACAGTCACCTATCTGTGCAACGGACCACTGGAAAAACATAATCGCACTCATATGTGAAACCTAAAAAGTTTGCTCTAATAGAAGTTCAGTAGAATGATGGTTACCATAGGCTGGATGGAGTAGGCAGAAGGGAAGAATAGGGAAAATTTCGTCAATGAGTATCAAGTTATGCTAAAAGTTTCATATGCATTATCTCATTTATTCCTCAAAATAAGCCCACAATTTATATTTTATCAATGAAACTTTTTCAAGTTCACACAGTTAGTAAAACCCAACCTGGAGCTGAACTCTTTTAAGTATAGAAAAATTCAGCAGTTCCACACGCCACTAATATACGATTAAATTAATTTAATGGATAGCAAACATTGTATTTTTAGTGAGGGAGATCAGAGTAGAAAATGTTACCCACATTTTGTATATTAAGAGAAGGTACTCTTTGACAAAAACAAAACTTCTTCTTTATGTGTACATAAAGACTTACTCTAAATAATATTGCTCACCATGTCATAGTGCTGATACTTTGCCAGGAAAATGCATGATCCCCAAGAGAAAAATTTATTTTTTAAGGCCTCAAATTTGCAGAGTCTCTGGATTAGACAAAGAAAGCAGTTGTTTATATGACAAAATTCGTGGTAGGATATGACTCTTGTTGCCCATGACTTTCTCTCTCTCTTTCTTAACTCTTATAAGGGTTTATTTTGGCATTTGATATTTTTCTACTCACCACAAAACTCTAAAATAAGGAAAGATTCCAATTAGTTTCACAATGAGATGTTACTGAAACATTAAACTCCAGGGTCAAGAGGTCAAATTTCTGGAGTTACACCAGTGTAAGGTAAATCCTGGCATTGTCACCAAGAACCCTTGGCAACTCAATTTCTTTACCTGCAAAATAGTAATCATACTATTACGTGATAGTGTTGGAAATAAAATGGGGTAAAAATGTAACGTGATTATCCAAGTGTTTGCCTTACAACAAAAGCTTAATAACTTTTAAACTGTTAGACTATTAGTTCTAAAGTAAGACTTTATAGAAAGCAGTAATTCCAAAGGAAATCTTCAACTGCTACAGGCAGGAAATGACATCTTTCCTTAGCATATACTAAACAGTTAATTAACAGGTCTGATTTCATATAGAAGAAAAAGAAGAAAATCATATTCCTACTTTTTGTCTCTTTGTATTCACATGGCTATGTCTAAAAACGACAATCCTCTCCGTAATCTGTCTAATTAGAGTTTAACTGATATAACATCATAGTGGCATGAGGTACAAATTATATATCAAGAGCTAGTGTTTTGAAAATGACTCAGACACCTGAGCATGGCTTTAATGAAAGGTCTCTTGACATTGCAGGACAATCTGGAGCCATCCATGTTCCCGATACAAAAGGGATCCCTGAACCTCCTGAGGCAGAAATGGGAATCCTGTGATTACCAGAAAAGGAGTGTTGTCCTGGGGGCAGCCATTCCATGCTCTCCCAGCCTAGGGAAAGCAAATTGCTTGAGCCTGAAAGAGAAGTACTCTCCGCCCTTGAATGTCCAGATCCCCCAAGTCTTCCCTGCAGCATAGGGGAAGAGATGCTGAGCACGGAGCCTGAAGAGAAGGGTCCTGAGGACAAGAGAGATCAATCCAGGGAATATAGCCAGCCTGAAGTGCTGAAGGAGGATTCCCTGACTGGTCGGCGCAGGATTGAATGCTTTTCCATTGCTCTTGATGAGCTAAGGAGTGTCTTTGAGGCTCCTAAGTATGGAAACAGACCACATGGACCACCTGAATATGGCCGAAAGGTAAGAGGCCATGGATTGGGAGCCTAAGTTTATAGTTGACAAGCTTGGCAGTTTGCTTAACCTTCCATTTATTTCTAAGTATGTAATGTTTGATTTTTTTCTCCCTCTCACCTGTACTCCAACAGATGTCTGGAAGCAGTCATGTAATGGACTGTGAAGTGTGGCACCCTCTATTATTGACTTCCTCTGAGGTCTATGTCAATGGGGAGGTGACCTCTTTCTATTCCCATAAAAACAATTCTGCGAGGCATTCTTATGTTGACATTTCTTTGTGTCTGTGCCTTGTTTCCATAACTAGGTTGTAAGAGCAACCTCTGAGGCAAGGACAACTTCTAACCACTCTATAGCTCCAACATCTAACAATGTTGACAAGCTCAGCAAGTACTGTGGGGATGTTTTAAAATTTTGTTTTTCTCTCTGAAGTTTTGATAATGTTAGTCTATAAATTGATAATAGATAGATTAGCAGAAAAAACCCCACAAAATTTATTCTGTGTCTAAGCCCAGAAGTCAGAAACACTCAAAAGAGGGTTAGATAATTAAGTTTCAGTAGCATTTTGATTACAGAAAGAAATAAGGGTGTGAGGCTGCTGGTGGATAGGTGGCAACAAATTATAAGAGGTTGAGGAAAGGGATGAAAAGAGAACAAATGTAACAATTCGCAGAGAAAATCTTTCTTGTCCCAGTCTTCAGAAGACCATCTGTGGTCATCTCTGCAAGAATCACACTCCCAATCTCTTTTTCCTGTAAAAAGATTTTTCCTAGGTAGATACGGGACTATCAGAAAAGCTTCTGACTGTCTACTGCTCACTAGTGTAGATAGATTTCAACTTTTTTTTTTTAAGAGGACAACCTGTCTGAGCCATTCCAGGGTTTGTAGAGGTCTGTAGCTTCTCTGAAAACAACAACACAAAATATACCATCTTGGGCTAGTATAATCTCCCTCAGGATTTATTAGTAATGATGGTGAAATGGAAAAATAGCAAATAGGCTTGGAACCACAGAGACCTAGGTTTTAATCCTAACACCTGCCAGTGGTTTCTGTAGCTGAATGACACTTAACCTTGAAAATATGAATGTTTTAATTTACTACTTTACTTTTCTATTTTTGGGGATTATATGTAATATATTTAAGCTACTAAGCATAGTCAGAAAATTCTGTGATAGATGGTGATCATTCCTTAGTAATTATGATCCACTCTAATGACACATATAAAATAAGTCTATCAGCTAAAGGGGACATTTAATCAAATGCTGAAAATAGAATTAGGAACATTATTAACTAGAACCACATTTATACTTATGTTGTGAATTAAAAGCAACTACTTTTTCAACTGGGATTAATTGAATTTATTATAGTTGTTAAGGTCCCTACATAAGAGAGATTATAGTTGAATTTCAAGAAGAAAGAACTAATAAATGATCTCAGGTTTTCCACTGGGAAGCAAACTTCATGCTCTGTGTTTTAGTTTTTACCTAATGAGAGTCATCATGAAGATACACAGCCCCACTCTTGTTAATGGATAATTAGCCTTCGTAAAAGGCATTATAGAAATAAAAACCTTTTCAAAATAAATTGTTTTGCTAATAATCAGTCCCAGTTTTTCAACTGGGACATACATAGTAGTCAGGCCTTCTTGAACATGAAATAAGCAATCAATTTAATGAGAAAGAAGACATGAAGTTGTATTTCTGAGGTTATGTTGAAAATAAAGAATCTCTCAAAAATGCAGCCACTTGCTGTTCCCTGATTAGTAGGCTTTTCTTTTTCCTCCTTTTTAGTTCTATTGTTATAATATTTTTTGTTTGTACATGTACAATGTTTTTTTAGCTGATGTCTAGGGATCGGGGTACTTGCAATATAGCTATTTACAATCCATTTTTATCTTTTAAATTTATTTTTATTTTAAAACATTTTTATTATTATATATTAGTTGTACAGTAGGAGTTCATCGTGACATTTCTGTATGTGGTTACAGTATACCTGTGTTAGGCTCATGCCCACCATCTCTCTTCCTCATCTCCCTCCCCCTTACTTAAAACAGTTCCAACTGATTTCATTGCTCTAGTTCATACAAGAATATAAAGTACATGGACAATATTCACCCTCCTTCATCCTCTCCACTCACTCTCCCCCCTTCCACTAACACCCACCTTGAAGTAAGACCTGTTACAATACTTTATTCATTTTTAAGTCCATGTTCATTGTTCAGAGGGATTCATGATGGCTCTCACCTGTGAGTGTACTGTATTATAATCAGATTAACCCCCTTTACTGCTCTACCTTATACCCCCTCCATTATTCAACAGCTTTAAATGTGTTTTGTCATGCCATCTTCCTTCACAGATTCAATGTATTTTGAAATTGTTCACTCTCAATCGTTCTCTTTTCCTCTCCTCCCTGCAATCCCACCGTTGCAAACGTGTTATTACACACATACACACACACACACACACACACACACATATATATATAATGCTTATTTTTGTGTATATATTTGTCTTTGGGATCTATCTTCCATACATGGGAGAAAACATGTGACCTTTGTTGTTCTAAACTTGTCTTACTTCACTTTACATGATGATTTCCAGTTTTATCCATTCACCTGCAAGCAACATAATTTCATTCTTCTTTTTGGCTGAATAATACTCCATTGTGTATGTATACTATATTTTCTTAATCTATTCAGGATTTTAGGGCATTTGGTCTGTTTTCAAGGCTTGGCTGTTGTGAATAGTGCTGTAAATAACATGGGTGTGCAAGTATCTCTATTGCATCCTGACTTACATTCTGTTGAGTATGTGTCCAGAAGTAGTGTCAGTGGGACATATGGTAGTTCAATTTTTAGTGTTTTAAGGAATGTAGGAATAGGAGGAATGTATACAACATAATAAAGTCTATATGACTAACCGATAGACTACATTATACTAAATGGGGAAAAACTAAAACCATTTTTGCTAAAATCAGGAATGAAACACGGGTGTCTACTTTCCCCACCCTAATTCAATATAGTTTTGGCATTCCTATCCCAAGCAATAAGACAGGAGTAAGAAATAAAAGTGATTCATATAGGGAAGGAAAATTTCAAATTATCCCTATCTGCAGATGATATCATCTTATACCTAAAAGATCCTAAAAACTCTACCAAAAAACTCTTAGAAATCCTGAACACTTTCAGTAAAGTAGCAGGATACAAAATCATTATACAAAAACCAGATGGATCAAAGACCTTAATGTAAGACCTGAAACTTTGGAACTACTACAGGAAAGAATAGGGGAAACCCTAGAACATACAGGCATAGGCAATGACTTCCTGAACAGAACTCCAATAGCAATTAAGAGAAAGGATTGACAAATGGGACTGCATCAAACTAAAAATCTTCTGCACACCAAACGAAAAAGTCACAAGACTTAAGATACAACATACAGAATGGAAGAAAATCTTTGCCAGGTAGCCATCTGGTAAGAGACTAGTAATCAGAATTTACAGGGAGCTCAAAAACCTAACCTCCCAAAGAATCAACAATCCAGAGAAGAAATGGGCACATGACCTTAACAGACAATTTTCAAAAGAGGATGTATAAATGGTTAATAAATATATAAAGAAGTGTTCAACATCCCTGGCTGGAAAAGAAATGCAAATCAAAACTACATTAAGATATCGTCACACCCTAGTCAGAATCTTGGCTACCAGGAAGAACATAATCAGCAAAAAATGTTGGCGAGGATGCAGTAAAACAAGAACCTTTATAAACTACTAGTGAGAATGTAAATTAGTACACCCATTCTTTTGTCTTTATAAATTAAGTAGATCAACAGAAAGTGTTTCTACTCAGTTTCTGTTTATTTTAATGTAACAATTTTAGATATTTACCCAAAGATTATTGACAAAAAGTGGCAATATGTAGAAAGTCATCTATGTAAAATATTATAATCTATTCTCATCTGAATGATATAGAAATATCATTCTATATTAAGAAATAAAATATTAAGAAATGAGCATTAACAAGTTTATAAGTTAAAATGTGAAATCTTAAGTGAAGTTAGCCAGGCTCAGAAGGCCAAAAATCACATGTTTTCCCTCATATGTGGATTATAGACCCAAAACAAATGCAGTAATATTATTGGACATGGATCACACACTAAGGGGAGAACATGCATGGAAGAAATAGGAAAAGGGAAGGGAACCTAAAACTTGAATGTGGTTGAAGTGCTCACTGTAGATGAGTGAATGTAGTAACCCTATATTGGCAGAGGCCACTATGGGAAGGGAGTTGTGAAGAGGTCTGGTGGAGATGAACCAATGTGGGTTGTAATACACAAGTGCATGGAAGCATCACTATGAATCTCTCTGTATAGCTACCTTTATCTCAAACTAGAAAAAATGCTATGTCTTTTTTATTGCTTCTTATGTTTTCTCCTCAACAAAATCAGATAACAAGAGGGTGGAACAGGTTCTGTCTTGAAGCAGGGATGGGGAGTGGAGGGGTGAGGGTGTGGAGCAGTTGGGGAATGGGGGAGTAAAAGGAGAAGGAGGGAGGACCAAATAATGTATATACATATTAGTAAATGTAAAAATGATAAAAGAAAAGAAAAATAAATAAAAATTTTAAAAAGAGATTAAAAAGGCTAAAAAAAAATGTGAAATCACTGCTATTCACCACAGAATGTAGTGTACCATACAGTAGTATAAAATGTACTGTGTTTTAGTTATTCTAAGGCACTATGTCATAATATGTTACCTACCTGAATGTATGCAACATGTATTGTGCCTTTAAAATTGCTCTCCACAACAGACATACAGTTTTAGAATCAATTACATAAGTTACAGTTAAGAATGTTAACAAAATTCTCTTTCTTTATTGGTATTTTACTAGGCATGTGAACACAAATCCCATTCAACTAAATATGAGAGTATATATTATACCCATTGCATAGTAATTATATTAAACTTCACACTTAGTTTCTGTAGATCCTTTCTTCTTCCTCATATCAACACT